TTTTCTTTTTTAAAGTCAAAATATGTCGATTTTCAATCCTTTGATGAAACTGTTAGTCAGTTGTGTTTCACTCGAGCAATGTCTCACTTCAATTCACATTGATTTTCCTTCTCCCTTAGAAGTAAATCTAGATTCAATGTGCTTACTCCTTCCATGTAGAACTGGATTCTTTGCATGGTTAATGGTTGACTTGTTGTCGATCTGCAGCACCAGAGGTTTCTTTAATTCATCCTCAATCTCTTCCAGCACAGATCTAATCCAGATTGTTTGAGAAGCAGCATATGGTCTTGCTATATATTCAGCCTCACGTGATGGTAATGCCACCACGAGATACTTTCTCGAGCACCATGAAATCAGAGCACCAAATATTTGAAAAGAAATAATCAGTTGTGCTTCTTCGATCTTCTTTATTTCCACGCCAATGAGCATCTAGATAGAAATTAGTCACAACTTCATTTTTTTCCAGAATTTCATGGAAATAGGATTCCATAATTTATTGATCATTTTAGGTATCTCAGGATTCTTCTTGCTGCCTTCATGTGTGACACCTTTGGCTCATCCATGTGTTTTCTTACCAATCCAACTGAGAAACCTATAGCATGTATGCTATTGTACACATACCTCATTGATCTTACACTTTGTTTGAACAAAAGTGACATTGACCTTCTCCTCCACTTCATACTTCTCCAGTTTTAGATTTGGTTCAACATGTGAGGATGCAAGATTCAAATTATCGTGAATCTCTTGAGTACTTGGCATTACTTCCCTTAATGTAACACCATACCATGCTTGGTAATTTGAAATTATATGCATTGGAAATACGACAAGTTTTTCAGATCTAACATTTCAAATTCCCTCTTCACCAGCTCTTTGAACTTCTATAAGTTCTCCATGTTATTTCCAGTTACTAGTCATCGTCATATAAGCAGATAATGAATGTATCGTGTGCCATGACCTCTACATAGAAACCATACTCCGACTTGCATTTAATGAATCGTAATTCGACTAAGTATGAGTCAATTTTCTTGTTCCACGCCTTAGGTGTCTGTTTGAGAACATTGAGAGCTTTGTGCAACTTGTACACTTTCCTTGATTTCTCCTGTATCACAAACCTATGAGGTTGTGTAACATACACGACTTCATATAGGGGACCATTAAATTTTTTTAATTTCACATCTAAATAAAGTGTCGACCAACATTGCTTGTATGCCAAGGCTACCACCATTTGACAACCTCCAATCTTGCTACTAGTGTATATACTTCAGAGTAGTCGAGTGCTACTCTCTAAAGAAATCCTCTAGCTACTAATCTTATCTTATATCTTACAATCGACCCATCAAGATTGTGCTTCAGCTTGAACGCCCACTTCACTTTGATAGCTTTTATATGTGTTGGAAATTTGACTAGCTCCTATGTGTTATTTATTTCAATCACTGGTAACTCTTCAATCATAGCTGACTTCCATTGTTTATTCTTTAAATACTCTCTATAATTGATTAGTTCAGCCCCTACAAGTAAATAGAAATGAAATCAACTATCTATCTGGTGTGACTTCATCATCACCAACCACTTCACAATCGTGAAGCCTTGTTGGGAGAACTCTGGTTTTTTGAAGTATTTGGCTTGTGCTATCCAAACTTTCTCTATTATTTGCTTCGACTTAGGCTATAAGTGGAGTGTCATTAATTGGAATTTCTTCGTGCTCAATACTTTCTTCATCAACACATACCTCGTCAATGGCTTGTTAGTTGCATCACCTGAATTCCAATCCCAGGCAAAGTTCTCATCAATCACAATGTTTTGACTCATCAGATCTTATCATTGGCTGGATTGAATAACCTATATGCTTCAGTTTTGTGATATCCTACCAGAATTATAGGTTCACTTTTATCATCAAGCCTCATTCTTCTTGCATCAAGAACATGCGTTTAGAAAATAAAGTTAAACAACTCTAGATGATTCACTGATGATTCACTTATGATCGTTTGACACTCCATACTTCTTCATGAACCTTGTTCTTCAGTTTCTTAGTAGGGCACCTTTTCAGAATATAAAGATAAGTGGTGACTGCTTCACCCCATAAGGATTTTGGTAGATTCTCCTGCTTCAGCATGCATCTCACCATATCCAATATGGTCATGTTTCTTAGATCTGTTATTCTATTATGTTAAGGTGTGTAAGGAGAAGTCACCTAATGATCAATACCATGTTCTGCACATAGCTAGTCAAATATCTTGGATGTGTATTCACCACCTCCATCTGTTTGCAAAACCTTGATATTTATTTTCATTCTAGTTTTCGACAAGCATCTTGAATCTCTTAAAGATTTCAAATACTTCTTCTTTTTGCTTGATCACATATACCTAAAACTTTCTACTATAATCATCAATTAATGAGACAAAATACATATTTCCACTAATGGTATGATCCTCAAATGGGACACATACATATGAATGTACTACTTCTAGTAGGCAGAAAGATCTCATTGGCATAGTCAAAACAAAATACTTTATGAATTACTTCCCTGAAGGTGTGAAAAACACAAGAAATAGGGGGTTTGAATTGGGTTTTCCATTTTTAACAAACTTTCTTTTTTAAACATTTTTGTGTTAATTGATGCTTTCTAATATGTTGTAGAAACATAAACAATTAAGCATAAGAAAAAGTAAAGAACACACGATATATCCTGGTTCACTTGAGAAACCCCCAAGCTAGTCCAATCCATCATACCAAGGTAATTTCACCTTGAACTCAAGAACCTAATCCACTATAACCAAACTGATTACAATCTGCACGGGAAATTGTCGATGACTAACATCTAATGACACGTTCATGCATCCAAACTAGATATAATGTTCATTGACCCAACATAATCTGATTCTTCATAATCTCCTATCAGGATTTCCCATAATGACTGCAGCCATTATCTTCTGGATATCAGACCTTCACTTAGTCTCTCAAGGAACCTTGAAATGATATGTTCAGTGATCCAACTAGATATAACAATCATTGACTCGATAGAATCCAATCCCACAGAATCTCCTATATGTTTCTACAAGGTTTGTTTACAAAAGAATGCTTATAAATAAGCAAGTGTAAACTCAATTAAGTACATCGGAAGATCCTAATACACACTAAAAATATTACATTGTATTATATCTTTAATGTGTGGTCTAGTTTTCTTCAAGTAGCTTTTTCATGGACAACAACCAAAGGCACTTGAATCGCTGAAGACTTCTTCTTCATAAGCTTCTGAAAGCTTTGTTGATCTTGATGTAGTAAAGAGAAGAACTTCTTCATCTTAATTCATCTTAGAACATTTTGTACAATATCCATTGTTCTAATTAATTCAATGATAACTTTAAAGCACAACATTCATGTTGTGGATTTGTAATTTGATCTTCCATGATCATCTTCATTATCTTCTGCGGCTTAGCAAGCTTCTTACAGTATATAAAATTAAGCACATTGTAAATCAAAGAATTCATTGTTATCTTGTAATCTGAAACATGATTCAAGAATCATTTTGATAACAATTGTTCTTGTTCTTGTTATGGTCATTGATAACTTTGGTTGTGTTCCAATAATGACAACTTTCAATTTAACATTTAACACCAATAACATTTTAAGCATATGATCTTTTTCTTATATAGCCAAGCAAAATAGAGTTATTGGCTATTTAGAAAAGAAACGTTACATAATGATGAAAATAGTACTGCTACGTCCTTTTCTTTTCCACGATTCAATCTAGTTGAGAGGTAGTGGAATGAGGCTTTTTCATATGTACTTCAGAGGCTTCTGTGAGCTTGAATTTAGAAGTGAGAACATAACACGAGGTCATCAGAACTTCAAGTCTTTAGAGAGTTCATAATTGCGTCTTCAGAGTCTTCTGCACTTGGTTGTAAGAACCTTATCTAGAACCTTGGATCTTCAGAACTTCAATTCTTCGGAGTCTTTAGAACTCATGTCTTCAGAATCTTAAGACTATTTATTTAGAACTTGTTGTCTTCAGAAACATGAGTCTTCAGCATCTGAACTTTAGTAGAAACTTTTGTCTTCAGATATTCTGACTTGTTTCTTTAGAGCACGTTGTCTTTAGAAGCATGAGTCTTCAACATTTGAACGTAAGTAGAAGTTCTGTCTTCAGATCTTATGACTTGTTTCTTTAGAAAAATATCATATCATACACTTCAGAAGCTTCTAGAGTGTCTTGTTACTGTTCATCAGAACTTGTGTAGTGCAAAACCAGAATTAATTATCTTCTAATGTCTTGGCCACGCCATCCATCAGAAGCAGAACATGTTTGTTAAATACTCAAAAATAACAAACATTAGAGTATCAAAATTGTTCATACAAACATACTCATTTGTTATCATTAAAACTCAGAGATAATATTGCAGAACTGAATCTTTTTCTAAGATTCCTTACTAAGCAACCTTCGAGTTTGTTAAGCATCACAAGACTTGGTATACCAATTACTATATCTTGAGTAATCAGTTGATTGAGTGACCTAAAATTTAGATGGCCAAACCTTAAATTCCACAACCAACTATGCTTGTGGTCGGTAACTATTTTTAGGGATTTTACCTCAGTCGAACTGATCATGGTCTTAAATGTCATATTCTTCGATAGAAGAAATTTTAATACTGGATTATTCTGGGTGTCAAACTATTCAAAGGCTCCATCTTTCATAACCACTGAGAAATCTTTTTCTACCAATTTTCCAAAACTTACCAGATTACACTTCATTCTAGGTACATAGAGTATCTTAGATTTTGTTGTGTTGCTCCTTTGAATAACTATGTTGCCAGGACCTTCTGCTTTTAACAAGTTATTACCTGTAAGTTTGACCTTGCTTTTATTTGACTCGTCAAAATATGCTAACCACACTTTTCAACCA